AAATAGAAAAACGGTGTTCCTCGGTCAAGAATAAAAGGTTAAGCCAACTAAAATGACCACTTATTGGTATGATATGAAACTGTTATGGAAACTTCCTAGAAGCCCACTATTGCCTTATTGTTTTTTGCAACACATGAGGCAACAGTTTAGAGACTTTTATGTTGCCAGATGTAACCTAATAGTATTACAGAGTCCTGGCATAGCCTATAATACAAGTCTTATTTCGCTTCGATTAACAAAGAATTTCGCATTTTGTTCTTCATAGTTCCTTATCGGAAGTAAACCTGAAGATCATTTTAAATAATATTGAGTGCAGACGAGAGACAGAGAAGCATGAAAACTAGTTGAAGATAGAGCTTGGTTACAATTCGTTCCAAAAATACTAAACGAGAGTATCCTAGGAGATTTCTTTGTCTCTCAAGAAAAAAGACTCAATGCACTAAAGGTATTTAAAAGGAAACATAAGTGTATTCTGGTTACGGATGTTTTGCTATTCAAGACTTATGAAGCAAATAGAAGCAAAGCGGACGAGGTTATAAAATTAGATGACTTAAGTGTAAACCTTAATGTTTGTCTTTTGTGTATGTGTGTGTGTGTGTTTTTTTTTTTTTTTTTTTTGCTTTTAACTTAATATCAACTAAAAGTTTAATTGCTTTTCAAAAATTTAGAGAATAGTTTATATAGTGCAGAAGTGGAAATGTGTAATTAAATGACTTTTAGAAAAAAAGTTTCAACAAAATTTCAAAACACATATACACACACGTATGTATGTATATGTCTACTCTTTGTACGGTATAATAAAATTTAAAAAAAAAAATAAAAAAAAAATATAAAAAAAATAAAAAAAATGAAATAAAAATAAATCATGTCACACCAAGGAAAAGCTTATAAACATGTACGCAAATATTGACACATGTTACGTAGTATATGTTGTTGAGTTAACAAATTCAAAGAACGAACGTTTACATCGAAAGAAATGCATTGCACAACAACACAAAAGCAAAAGAGAACGAATAGCAAATTTATTATCGATTCAAGGCGAATCTTAGATACCTGACAACAACAAGACAGAAGAACGTTTCCATCGAATGCAATGTAACATGGAACAGTCTGATAGCCAAGTTTAGGAGGAATCGTACATACCTTACACAACAACAGCAAAAAACAAAACAGAAGAAGAGGAAAACAAGGAAGAAACAACAATGTAACTTAACATAAATTTTAGATATCGATCCTTGCGATAGAGAATGTGTCGACAGGCCGCTAGCAGTCACTTTGATCCCGAACTTAGTCCGTTAAAAATTTAAGCTGATTATTAGATTTGGTCTGCTACTGCGAACACCTTTAAGAATATTTTGCGACTGTTTTGAAATCTGATCAATGAAATCAACCCCAAGGCATTCAAGTAAAGTAAAGGCTTTGACACCTTCGCTATCGAACTAATAGATTGTTGACATCATTCTAATCCGATCGAGGATATATACATATATAGAGGGAAACTTCGTGGAGTTACCATTTAAAGCGTGCTGAGGACAACCAGTCTCCGCGTAGTAATACCTAACGCTGGTCCTGCGGGGGAGAGGGGTAGATGAAGTGAGTGGGAACTAACGTCAAATAACAAAGCTTTATTGTATAAGATTTTTTCGATGGTGAACATAAGAGCATAGCGCACTTAAATTAAGGCATAATCCAAGATCTCACTAGAGAGAGAACGAGATAAAGAATATATTTAGGACAAATCTCTTGTTGCTTTCCACTGAGTGTTAGGCTTAAAACTTTAAAATAAAAAATATTTTTCTTTTGTAAAAAATCATACACAGTACAAAGTAGTTCTCAGTCACTTATAAAAAGAATCTTGGAGAATAATTGAAATGTTGTTGTTGCTATACAATTATCGACAGACCTTATATTTTTTTGAAACTATTTCGAGCGGTGACTTAAACTCATTGCTGAGCATCATTAGGTCTAGCAACGACAACGATCACGTAATGTTAACCTAAATCTTTTATTGTCAAATTTTATGTTCCTTATGAAAGTTATTTGATAGATTTCTTGCTTACAAAGTTATCCATTGAGTATTACCTGCTTAAGAAAATATATTCCTGAGTGATTTATCCATTGCTGTTGCTTAAGAAAACATATTCTTGAGTGACTTTAATAAAGGAAAGAACTTCGTTGGGTCCATATCCTCGGAACTGGTAAGAATGTAGTTTGAACAAAGAGAAATATCATCCGTTGAAAACTAAAGCCAATTAAGTGCTTATGGATTCGTATTTATTTAAGAAGTTTTATCTCTCAAGCAACAAAATCTCTCAAATCATAATAAGGGTCACCGAGTTCAAGGCAGAAGAAGAAAGTTAACCCAAAATTCTTATGCCGATTATATAAAATATCAAGTCTATATACATACTACATATATATATTTATATATATTCATCATACTATATATATACATCGCTCACACCTTAAGATATTTATAGTCCTAAAGAAAGTAAATAGAACAAAAACATTCCGTCTACTCTTTTTGAAAATCATGCTTGCGTCAACTTCGCATGATTAAAAATTTAAATTAAATTTATTTATGGATTATGAATAAATTTATGAATAACCCGTACATACCCGTACGTTTTTCTCTCCGGTCAACTTGCTGTTGATTGTTCGATTATGGCAAGACTTCAAAACATAATGTGGAAGTAAAAAATCAATTTCGTAATCTCAATTCTTTTAAACTTCATTTCATTCGATTTCGATTTAGAACAATGAGTAAAATTTAGCAAAAAGATAATAACTTTCTTCTCCTTTTATACCCATCAACCATGTCTATTACATCAACTTTTCAAATATTCTATAGAAATATCTATCTATCTGATTCCATCTCGATCATAAACAGAATCAGTCTATTCATGTATGTCCCTCTGTCCGGCTTTCCGTCAGTATATTACACAATACAATCTCACACTTTGCCTAGAATACCGTTCTATAGATTTCCTTGGCATTCTCATAAAGATAAGTTTCTAAATAGGTGCATAGGCTCGATATTTAGTGGGGAAAGAGAATAACAAGTTTTACACCTGTAATTAAGGATATATCCACTTTTGCAATATTCATAAACTAAATCGAACTAAGCATGTGCGTCTGTCTGTCTATTCGTTCGCATGAATAGCTGCGGTTAAGGTTCTCCTGATTCTCTTCAAATTTGGCGAAAATGTTGCAAGTTGTTGCATGCAAGTTGATGTTGAAAATAGGCTACGTCGGAACATTAGCTGAGAATGCCCGTGTTTATAAAAAAAACAATAAATTTATGCTCACTATTCATTAACTATAACAGACATAACGATGGAAACACGTATAACATACATATATACTGTGGGTGATCCTATTGTTTTTTAGTTTCTTTTTTTTAAACTACGGATGTGGGTTTGTAACAAAATCAATTTACAGACGAACGTAATATTCTTGCTTTTTTTTATACCCTACAACATTTATGGTGCAAGGATATATTAAGTCCGATATGCCGATCGATCTAAGCTTGTTTGTCCATCCGTCCGTCTTGTCTTGTTCAACATTCAGGCCGCAGTTTTAAAGATATTTCAATGAGATTTGGGCGACTAAGGTGTTTTGACGCAACGGCGAACGCTATTGAAAACGCTTTTGTATTGAGCAAGTTTTTCGCGCACTTATCGTAGAAAGCTCTATTTTGAAAAGTCATTATGCAAATAACTGCAGGGTGGTATAGGTTACGTTAAGGGTTACGATTACGGCCTACTATAATGCTTTCATTTGTTTTTAATTGGACCGTAAAAGTTGTAAGACCTTTATCTTACAGTTTTAAATTAAATTCTATGCCTTTCCTAAACCCTTTTCTTAATGAATTTTGCACCGAATCAGCTCAGTGTTAGGCAAATGGTTTGATCGCGATTGCATAAAAGTAAGAAAAAGAAAAGAAAGCTAACTGTATATAAAACCAGACTATGATTTGAATAGAATATATACGATAAGTAACATACACGATACAATATACTATTGCTAGTTGCTAGGTGGTGGTAAGTATTAATAGATTCGACCCAAACTGTAGATAAATTCTTTCTTGGTCTCAGATGATATATGCCCTCGAATTCCACTCAACACCGAATGTCGCAACTATCAAGTCCGTAGATCACGCTTAGTCGTATCTATAGTTAGTGCACAGGCTGCACTACAGGCTGCAGCCAATACTTCCCATCTCCTTGTCTATCCCTATCTCTTTCTGATCATCACAGTGTTACACGTATAGGGGACATTACCTAAGTGATTGGTCATATTAAAAAAAAAAGAAAAGAAAAGAAAAGAAAAATTTCTTTTTCAACCTTGTTCCGGGTAAATTGACTGGCCTTAAATTATGGACAAGTCAATATTTGAAATTGTTTTTTAAGAATTTCGTGTTACATCAACTTCCTACTCTTGTGCAATATAGAGAATAAGTGTATATAAAAAAAAAGTACGAACGCATTTGCTTGTAAACACGTCTTAAGTCTCGCGCAACCACATATTTACATTAGTGGTGACGCCTTAAACCGGTATGAATGATTTGTATACATTGTTAAAATGACTCGTATTCTCCTCAATTTGTAGACTCTAATATGACGTTATGATATTTTATGGTTGTAGGTGACAAATTGTGTTTTTGATGTTTAACATGAAAGTTGTTTTTTTTTTTTTTTTTGGTTGTTTTCTTCAGCCTCTTTGAAGAGAGCCGACCGACCCTATAAGTTTAACGTTATTTCGGTAATTGATTGAAGGTGTAGGCCATGAGTTTAGCACTTGCCAGTATTTGACTAGACCGGAACTGGCAAATATCCGAAAATGTAACTAAATATATATGCATACATATCACAAACACAAACATAAATAGAAGAAGAAAGAAAAGCATATGAATGAATGTTTGTTCGTTCGTTTGTATGAACAATTTGTTTTAAAAAGAAAAAAAATTCAAATTATTTTCATAGAGCATTTCATTACAGATGGAGGCACAAGCGCGGCAACAACAACATTTGCAACAACGTAATCAATCGCAACAACTTTTACAACATCCCTTAAGTAAAACTCAGCAAAATTTATTGGATAAAATCAAGGACGAAGTAAATGGTCAAGAGCAACAACAATCGCAATTAAATCATTCGGCAAATGTGCTCTTAGAGAGGCAATCGCCTAACGAACATCAAAATCCGCACAAACAACAACAAGTGCAACAATTAACTAGTCATTCTACGCGATCACAGCAACCGCAGCAACCGCAGCAACAAGCTCAAGCTCAAGCTGCTGCCTCCTTAACGTCATCGCAACAGCCGGCCAGTGTGGTGATACAAGTTCAACCAACTAATCTACAAACAACATCGCAAACCAACGAAGACTTTATACCCCCGCTACCGCGTACGCAACATCGACGAATCCTAACTACATCGGGAGAACTGTAAGTTACTCTAAGCTATCAGGCGAAAAGTTCGCTAAACTAATTTTTGCGTAATTTTCAGTGTTAGCGATCAAAGAGAAACTGAACAAACTGAACAAGCCAATGAATATCATGGCCATCATTCCCCAGATGAATATGTACAAATGGCTCGACATCATGAAGATCAGCAATCTGCTCCGGATTCCACAGACTATACGTACATTACCGACGAAAATGGTCATATGTTATGTGCTACGGAGAATGTTGGCGCCATAAAATTAGAATCAATAGACAAGGAACAGGTAACGGTCGAGTCGCAACAACAACAACAGCAACATCAACATCATCATCATCATCAACAGCAACAACAGCATCAATGTCCTACACCCGGTACCTATGGGGAGCAATTGATCGTTTCGGCGACAGCTTTACATCATCAAAATCCGCATCATCTTGCCGGCACCGCTCTTAACCACGGTAATCACGCGTCACCTTTATTGCGTTTTGAAGACGATGGGCGATTCGCTTCCGCGATGAACGATCATGGTAATGGACCTCCATTATATTATGATCCGCCAGTGGTCGACGCACCAACGCATGCCAATGAAGCCAAAACGTTTACTGACCTTGGTAACTCACATTATTTAAATTACGGTCCCACATCTTCATATCAATTGGGTCCTGGCAATGCTGTCTACAGTGTTGCAGCGCCGACGCAATTAATTAGTAAATCTGATCCAAATTTGAGTTTAGTACGACAACCCACGCAATACCAATCGATGCCAATATTTGATTCAGTCAATACCTCGGTACAAGAACAAGGTCTTTGGCCCTCGTCCGCCGTAGAATATCAAAGTTTTGTAAGTACAGCGTAGCGAAGCTGATGATTTTGATCAAGAAGACAATTTCAATATATTTTGCCAGATTAGAAATTATTTTCTTCTAATTTAGAATTATTATCAGCAGGTAGTAGAAGATTATCCACCGGGCAATATAACAACATCAAGTTGGCCTGGCCCTACCTCCATGGTGCCGTATGAGACTGCTTTAGCATCTCCCTTAACCGATGTAAAATGTGAAAATTGTAATTCTCCCTTAATGCGTAAAGGAAACGAACTATTTTGCTCGCTCTGTTACACCTCCACACAACTTATTCGTCAAAATGTGCGCATGGCCGCGAGACAATCAAAGCCAAAGGCAACGGTGGCGGCGAATAATCGACGTACCGGCGTTACTTGTGCCAATTGTCAAACTAATTCCACGACTTTATGGCGCCGCAACAATGAAGGCAATCCAGTATGCAATGCTTGCGGTCTTTACTTCAAGTTACACAACATGAATCGTCCCTTATCTATGAAAAAGGAAGGCATACAGAAACGTAAGCGCAAACCCAAAAATAATGGCGGCGGTGCCCCGCTAAGGCCACAATTGCCAAGTAAGAATTTCTACTTGGAATTTTTGAAGAAATCTTTTCAACTTTGAAAACCCATTGCAGGCATACAACTCAATGGACATTTAAGCGGAAGCCCTTTATATCCGTCACAGGTTGCAACTATTGGTCTGTCAATAAATCCGCAAACAAATGCACCCGACCTTCCGGATATGTCCACAAACGGCAACCGTACGATCTCAATAGCGCCAGAAATAACATTAAATATGTCTCGTTCACATGTAGTACCATCAGATAATCACTCGCCGTACAATAATTCACCGTCGCAAAGTAAATCACCTCACCTGAATCATTCGACGACTTTAAATCGTCAAATTGCGCCAACGTAAGTTATATACTAAAACCGAAACGGTTAAAAAAAGTAAAATTATTTCTTGTGACTTATATGCACTTCAAAAATGTACTTTTAGATGAGAAAGTGGTGAAATTTCTTTTTTATTCCCCCCCCTAAGATTTAGAATAGTAGCAACAATAGCCCGCATAAGAAGCCCTTGAAAAATGTACTTCAACATAAGAAAGTGGTAAATTCTAGGATGAAATAGTAATAGTAGTCCCCATAAGTCGCCGAGTAGGGAAGAATCGCGACTACTAGGTCAATGTCCGCGTGTTCAACTCTCAGTGCGAGTAAATTTTACATTGATCGCAGCTACAATGAATGAGAAAAGTAGTTGGTAAAGGCAGAGCACTTATCGACTGAGCATAGATCCACTAGGTTGCGGCCGTCCCTGTCTCTCTCCGACTTTCTTCCAACCGTTATCATGCCTAAGAAACATCCCTCGAATGAATGGTCATATAAACAAAAAAAAAACATAAATTCCTGAAATACACATTAAAGGTCTCGCAAAGCCCATATATAACTTCATCAGGGGTAGTTAGCCGATTTGATATGTCGATTTGTGGGCATATGTTCACCTTCTGTAAGGTTTTTCGTTAAGTCTTAGAAATTCCATTTTTTTCTCGACGATTAAGGAAATTATTCAATTAAAATAAATTTAGGAGGAGTTTCGCTTATCATTATTGACAGGCATTCTTCGTTAATTGTGATATATATTGCGTAGTTCAAACTTGGAATATATATAATGGGTCGTGCGTTTAGAGAATGATGCTGGCATTGGGAACAATTATTCATTTTAAGTTCCTTGACCTCATCTATGTTATACGAATTGAGAGGCTTTACATTCACTAAGAAGATTACTCAGAAGATGAAATAATGTATCTTGTGAGTCTTGGATTAGTAAGTTTATGGGCAGGATTTTTGGTATCTGGAAATGAATCTAAGCTTATTTAAGGGTAAACTTGCATTTGTCGTAAAACGATCTAACTAATCTACCACAAAATAATAATGAACGTGTGAAAATTGTCCCGCTTACAAACAAAATCGCTATAATGGGTCGCGACACATCTCCCTCTACTTACTTATCTAACGAGTTTTCAAAATAAGGTGTTTTATGGGAAGTGGTCAAAAGAGTGTTTCGATCCGTACCGTTTTTAATACCATTCGTCTTGGGTTCAAACCACTTCAGTTTTGCCAAATTTATTTGAAATGTCTGAAAAGTTCTGGCCCTTAGGCTGAACACGAAAAAGCAAGACGGACGAACGGACGGACGTACAAGCTCGATGATGAACGTCACTCTGAATCGTTCGTTATAATAAGAAGCGCACCGACACCATCTTCGACGAGGGGTTGCATTCATCTGCACAAACTTAATATACGTCGGCATCAGAAAAACGAATGAAAATTGTTGAGTTATAAACAAAAATGAATACATAACTATTTTTATAAACAACTATACATACGAAAAATAATAAACATATAGATTTAATTTTGGCAATTACCTGTGAGATGTAGACAAACACGATATATGATGTAAGCTATCCGATGTGCGATATATAAATATGCTTGTAACGCTTGTAAAAATTGGCTCAAAGTTGCACTGTATTTGTAAGCGTTTAGGGGCACAGTGTTAATAAAAATTTTTTTTTTTTCGTATTTCCTTTTTTTCAGAGAAGCACCGCGCACGACTACTAGCGAAATACCTACGAGCGTTATCACTCGTACTGGTCTGCCGGAACGTTCTTCGAATAATTAAAGCCTTTTTAAAAATCTATTATAGAATAGAGAATTAAATAAATTTATTATATTATATAGTTTATGCCAAAAACAATTGTTTATAAGTATATTTTTTAAATTATATTTAATATGCAAAAAAAAAAAAAAAAAATTTATAATTTCCAGTAAAAATTAAAATAAAATTTAATTTAAAAACAAAATAAAATTAAAAGAAAAAATAAACACCAATGGATATCCAGAGTTATTTTTACAACAAGCCGAATAAAAGCTATTTCTACCATTTTGAGATACGAATCCGCGAGTAAACATTTATATGTCGCGATTCTTAGAAAATAAACGAGAGTTATCGAGAGTTATTATTATAACAAGTAGAATAGAAGTCAATTCTACCGCATCGAGATTTGAACCTAATTCTTACCTAATCTGTAACCTAATTAATTGTAAGGTGCTGCCAGATTATATAAAAACATGCTGAAAAATACTAATGATATACAGCCATGGGCACATAAATAGCACGGCCTTCAATATATATTGGCAATAAGGAAAAAGTGAAAGAAAGTGAAAATCAGGAAGAGCGAGGGAGAGATTTAGGATACATAAAAAAGAAAAAAAAACCTTCTCTCGTTAAAATTAATTATTTTTTTGTTTATAACTTATGTAACATTTGGCGATTTATTTCGATTTATTACCGCTTGATATCTATATTCCAAGCTTTCAATAATATGATGACTTAGTCTTCTTCGCTGTGGAGGTACGAAGTTCCTTTGATATCTTTCCAGAACAGTTTTCCCCCAATATTCGTTAACATTAATGTTAATGGATTTATGTTCCATTGCCGATTTAATGCCATTGAATATCATCAGCTCAAGGTAAAATAACAAATTTTATAGTCTCCCGGGAAGCATAGATAATTTGAAATCAAGCACATGTCCGCAATTATGACAATCGTCCTGCCGATGATCTTGAAACATTGCAAATTAAAATTGCGAGATCCATGGGGGTAAGGTTTACCACTTACTCTAAGACCACACATGCTTCGCCATTACTAAGCAGGAATGGTAGCGGCGGGGGCATTAAATAATTAGAGATGCTTGACAAACCTCTTCTCGCCTTGCACAGAAAAGAACGTTAAGGCTCTATTCAAATTTTTATATCTCATACAGGTCCTTTCTTTTGCAGGCGAGTCTTGCAAATTGGGGGTGCCAGAAATCGTTCGTAAATCACTCGATAGACTTGCGGGCCTCATCTAATTAAGCTATCAAAGCACGTCCGAAATTCTTCTTTGCTTTTGTAGACACGTCGAAACTCTCATCTCCACACGATGTTCTTCGGACAATGGTCGTAAGACTAATCACTAAGAAGAGTTGAAGGCTTGCTTATCTATAACCTGGCAACAGATTTTCCCTATAGATTGCTTAGGGATTACACTGGAAGAAGTTTTGCTTGCTTTATAAATGAGAATTTTTTTTCTCCAGGATATACTGCTATAAAGGCAATACAAACAAACAAAGCAGAAACAATTAGGTTGAGGCAGCATGGCATATGTATATCTTTTGAAGGAATACTTTAGCGTGTTTGATCTGGGAAGTTTTGGGAGAACCAAAGACAAGAGCGGCTTCATCGTCTAAATTAAAGCATCACGGAGCTCAGGATTTCCACTCATACATGTTCTTAGAAGAGATTCTTAAGAGATGCCTAAGCAGGAGTGATGGCGTCGCATATACCTAGGAGACCTAGCTGTAACTGCCATGTAAGTCCTGATGGATGGCTAGGTATGGCGCTTTGGGGAGTATCACAGATACAATGGTAAAATAAGTGTACGAGAGCTACATATAATGGGGTATAAATAGATCTTGGACACTCTCCAGAATAGGTTCAATGACCATGCACTTTTTATTGATCTGGCACTTTGGGTGTAATTGGCCCCAAGCTTATAGGGATTGTGACGGTCAATAATTCATAAGCATCCGTAACGAGATAATGCCAAAACATCGTTCCAAGATGGTTTTACTCTAGTGTAGGACCACTACGTTGGCACTGCACTGCCCCTACATTAAAAAAAAAATTATGAAGATCCAGGGAGAGTTAGTTAAATTGATAGATAAAGACAGAAAGTTTGTTAGATGAAGGGAGAGATAGAAAGCAAAAGGGAGGGAGAGTGAGAGAGGGAGAAAGGTAATCAGCTCGTCCAAGAAGATAAAAAAAAAACCTTACAAAGATTGTTTCGTTTCTCAGTACGCTGACGGTTCACGCTTAGAAAACCTGTTGTATCAGCGGGTACCGTGGGGTTAAACCACCCTGGCAACGTCTGTAATTTCTGTCTTGGGATTCTTTCAACAAATGCAGATTAGAATTCGCCCCGTAACCAAATATAATCTTCTTCATATTAGTCTGATTTGCAAGGAGTGAAGAAAGCTTGAAATTTGATATAAAAATTTTTTCTTTTAGATAAGGTAACGAGATAGCCGTTCTTGCTGTTGCAGCTATCAGAAGTCTGAAGAATCAATAGAAATGCAAATGCATGCAATAATCCATTTTACAGTTTTAACCTTTGCGCAATTAACTCTCAACCAGTCTTCCTTAATTCCTTAAAGGTCCTGTGACAATCAAACTTACTATTTTCACTTCAGCTTTGTGGAGGGGTAAAAAATTACTAAAGAGAAAAGAAAAAAAAATTTAAAAAAAAACCGAAAAACCACAAACAAAAAAGTTTAACGAAAAAGGACAAAATACCCGAAATAATAAATGAGTTATAATTCGAATTTAAGCGCTAATGACCGCATGATTTATTAATTTACTTTGTTTTCGGTTGGTGAGGGCGATAACGTCGGTGGTATGTCGGATACGAGTGCATGTGCATATATATTCCTACCGCTGGCGTTTGTGGCGATATTTTACTGTCAGCGATTTGGCATCAACTAAATTGAACCAAATTAATTTTAATGACCCTCCACGCCAGACATACGCATAAACGTGAACAAGAAGAGGAAGCAACAAAGTAATAAGGTCTCAAAAATAACACCAAGTAAACCGAACAAGAGAAAATCTATATAGTGCGGAGCGATGGGAATTACTTTGCAACCATAAAACGACAGAGTAAAAAGCGATTTGGTGTCATCACTTAAAAGCCTTCTTAACGCAAACTTCTTGTTGTTGTTACTGAATTGTATTTGAAGAAGAAAAGAGCAAAAAACCAAAAAAAAAAACAGGAAAAAACAGGAAAAAAAGGAAGAAACCTAAAAAAAAAAAAGTATAAATGTAGAAATCCCACATTCTTAGTTTGTTTTTTTTTTTTTAATTTTTCTTATTCATCGAAGCAGTCAAGACTGATTTTAACAATAACAACAAAAATAACAAGCAAAACCATAACGCCACTAAAATCAACAACATGCCACCACCAACAAAGCAAAGAAATCGCAGATCTTTCATTTAATGGCCTGTTAGGAACAATAGCTTTCAGAAAAAGCAGTCTTAAAGCAGGCATATAATGCATACACATACATACATACACAGACACACATGAACATGCATACAATACCATACAATATTCACAATATTTTGATCTTCGTCTTGCGCTTGCTTGCGTTTACTTATTTCCCTCTCAATCAACTTTACTTTGAAGCACAATATGCGTCATAGTAAGGAGTGTTTTGCACTCTCCTCACATTATTATTTTATACTTTGGCGTACGCTCGATCAATTAGGCAAACTTGTTTTACGATTGTGTTTATTAGGCCGACTTTGCTAAGTCGGCCCTAAGGTGACGTGAAGAAGCGTTGTTTGTTATTCTTTTCATGTTGTGCCGCGCTTCGCTCTCTTTCTCTGTGAAATGCAACGATATACCGCTAAAGTGTTGTGATACCCAAATATGATCTCTATACCTCGTTAAAGTTAATATATATTTTTTGTAAATGTGTTTGTTTGTTTGTTTTCTTTTTCTTTTTTTTTTTTTTTTTGTCTTTCTGTTCTTTTCTGTTGTGTTTTTCCTTTATTTTTTCTTTCGTTTTTATTTTTTTTATTTTTTTTTTGGTTTGGTTGGTTTTTGTTTTCTCTTTTCCACTTTGTATACTAGACTTTGACATTGAAAATCACTGACATAATGATTTGATTTTGTCAACATTTTTCGAATCCTTTCTTTCAATGACTTCGTTAAAGCACAATGAATTGCTTACCTCAGGTATTTAAACTAATTAGATGCAAAAGAAAAGGTGGGAAAAGAAAGAAGCGAAAAAAAGAAAAAAAAAAATCAGTTAATCATTAGGTTGGAAAAGTGTAATGTTTATCGATTTCTAGATTTTGCGATATCGCGATTAAGAACTTTCGGTCGCACATGATTAACATGACAAACAAAAACAATGTTCGATTCAATTAATACAATAATCTTGACTCGACATAAGCTCTCTTAGCTGGTGCAAAAATGTTATGATTAATAGACATAGTTCTTCTGAGAAGACAAACCAAAATGACCCATCACCCAGATGATTGTTTCAAGTAAAGTTATTGTTTGTTTATGTTAAAGCAGATAAAAATTTGAAAATTCCAACAGTGATTAAATCATTCATTTGCATAAAAAAAAAAACTTGTATTCAGGTTATACTCTTCGCTAATTAGAATAGAGCTAACACATCATTCAATAAGTCCCCGGTCTGACACATATATGGCAACACCATTGATCGGGCCATACAACTTTTGCATTGTCACGATATGAGTCAAAATATCATAATATTTTGTTTACGTGCAAGACACAGTTGTTTTAGCGACGTCACTTTTTTGATCGCAAACTTATTGAGTGATGTGATAAACTTAATTGATTCGATATAAAACATAAATTATAACACATTGTATGATAAGTGCGTGCGCAGTGTTCACAGTGGGAAAAGTTTCCCCCAAAAACAGTATTTTTCGCAAACACCTGGCAAGAGTTTGCAGGTGAGTTGAGTAGTTGCCTAAGCTTCTGTTTGAGGAGCAAGCGAGAGAAAGAGTTCGTGAAGTTCAATCAATTTTGAACGAAAATGTGTTATTGAACGTACCGGTTTTACTCTCTCATGTAAGT